ATATTCTTAGAAAGAGAAAATGCTGCACAGACTTGTACAAATATCTGCTTGAAGCAGGAGTATTCCAGACATGATGAATACTTGTGCAAATCACAGCCATGTGTGCCGGTCTTAGCATAGGATTTATATATGCAGTGAACATTTGCATACATGCTTGTATTAAGCCAATTGTGCGCAGCCCACAAGTGAGACCTGCAAGCCCTCCTCCATCCTAGAAACCTTTCAGGTGCTCAGTCGGCCAATAGAGACCCTACTATGAGGCTTCTTAGTGCAAAGCAACTGACCACTCAAAGCAACAGCCCCAAGGACCAGCTGGGTTCTATCTGGGGACATTTTTTTTGCATGAAATATCCAGAGGATCATTTTTGATTCATGATCAGTGACTGAAATTGAAGAGTTTTCACAGACAATGTATGGCGAGAAAAGGGGGCTGTATTTGTCAAAGGGTTTGCTGGCTGAGAAAAACTGGTCTCACTCCACTCTGCAAGACAGACAAAGCTGATCCTCAGGCTTCTGAATTGTGTAAGCATTTGAATCTGGCCTGAACATCAATTCATGATAAAAGCAGCCATCTTGAAAGGTCAGGATTATATATTGCAAATGCCCATCCATTATAATCCTCCCAGCAGAGGTCACCCAAAGCCATCAGTCTCATCAGATTTCAACCATTCAACTGCTCTTTTAAAGCAAAAAGACCTTGAAATCTGACACCCATGCCTTACGAGCCTCGAATATGACCTTCACAGCATAGGTCAATAAAAGGATGCCACGTCTTTCCTATGATACTTCAAGACCTATTTGGAAGAAGCACGTTTGAACTCTTGTTCATAAAAGAATGCTGAATATGGGAAATATCCCCAGTTTGAAATGTGATTTTTTTATCCTATAGGTCATCAAGATGACAGTTTGCACAAATGGTTCCAATTTCTTGTGATGGTTGTTAAGCTACTGAAGCAATTAAAATAATCAGAAATGACTGGTTTGACTGAATAGATATTAGCCAAGAAAATTATAAAGATGAATGAGTGTACCATTGGTATGGCATTAAGTTGTATATATCTGTACAAAAGATCCATATGCATCTGTGTGCAGAGATAGAAAGCATGAGCAGCAGTGCTTATAATTAAGGTTGCACAGCTAAAGATTTCATTAAAAGCCCTGTTTAAAATGTTTATGTTGTGAAAGCAAGCCTGCAGAGGGCAGGAATTGGATTCAAATTTGTCCCAGGCAACTTCAATGTGTATGCATCTTTAATTACATGGTCATATACTCATTTTTTACCATCATGGAAGCAGTGAGTTTCTTTACAACAACAACAAAAAAGCAGAAGAAAACTGACTACTGGAATTGAGTGGACAACTTTAATATAATGCTGCCACTTGCTGTATAATATAACTTCTGTATAAATATGTAAATATAGATAGATGTAAATATAGATGGATATGCCTGACTGACAAGTTGCAAAGCCACCAGAAGCTACTGCAGGCAATCCCAGCCTTATGTTCATGACCCCATCCCTGGTGCCACATCCTCAGGTATTTTATCTGCAACACAATTTAGAGACAGATTAACCTCATGAGATATGCAGGGCTCTAAAATCTCTCTCCTTCCAAATCCAGGTTGCTTCAAGCCTCATTTTTGCAGGCCTTGAAGCGACAGAAAAATTAGTATTAATAAATGTTGAAAGTGTTTCCAAACAATGTGAAATGTCTTTTCGTTAAATCAGTGTGTCACAATTTGAAGGTCTGATGGCATCTCTCAAGCTGTCGGTGCAAAAAATAGATGCAGGATATATATTAAGAGGGAGCTGGGAATGCCAACCCAATAATGGGATGCAGCAAGTGTTTCTGGCCCTGGCAGTTTGTTTGAATTTCATTTAAAATCTCTCTACACCAAAGCTGAATATTGCCAACCTGGAACTTCAGACTATAGTTGTTTGCAGCGACTGCTTTTGCATCTGGGAGAGGCAGACCAAAACTCCAGGAGGACCATATTCTGGGTAAGGTGCTGGGAAGGGACTTAGAGAGCATGGGCTCAGCACCTGCCTCTTCCACAGACTTTCTGTCTAACCTTAGGCGAGCCACCAAATCTCCCTGCCTCAGATTCTTGTCTGGAAATGCTACTACTTCCTGTCTCCGTTGTCTATTCAACCTATAATCTCTTCAGGGAAGCAACTGTGTGCCCATGTGTGTGCCTGTATGGTGCCACATACAACCAGGCTTTGGTCCTGAGTGGGACATCTAAAAAATGATCATAATTGTGCTAATTTCTTATCTGGTGCATGGTGAGTATTTGTGGAGGCAGTCAGGTGGAATGGGCCGAGTGCAGAGGAGCTGCTGCAAGGTGCAAGTGCTTCCAGGTTTATTTCATGGCTCTGTTGCCTACTCCATGGCAGCACTAAAGCATTCATCATATATGTGGCATACAGGAATGTATTATATTAATATGTATGTAGTGAATATATAAGGCAACCTCATTATAACAAACCCTGCTTATAACAGTCCCAAGAGCAGCCACCCATTTTTATTTTGTAATTTTGGTACAGCAAATAGACTATCTCTATTGCATCTTCTTGTAACTACCCGTTTACCCAGTCCCAGGAAAGGGGCTGTTATAACAAGGTTGCACTAGACCCACCTGTTCTTCCTACCCCCACTAGGCTTGTATAGATAGATACAGGCAGAGGTATGGCATTTTTAGGATCATTGCAATGAAAGGTACAGTTGAAATGTACAGGTTTGTCAATGGGATTTGATGGGCTCCATTGGGCATGACCAATTGGTGTTATATCCCCAATCTCTGTCACCACAAAGCCAGAGGGTGGCAAAAGAGAAGCCAGAGAGATGGTTAATCTATAGGCAACAGCTCCCAGGCAAGAGGAGGAGAAAAAAAAAAACAACTGAGCAAACCTGCAATCTCCTTAATACTCTGCCACCCAGTTATTTGCAGTTAACTTAATCAAAGGTGGCCTCAGTCTTATTTAAGAGCAGGGCTGGATTGCTGGACTGGACTGGTGCCAAGCCATAGGGATTTGTAGGTTTCCTTAATCTTGTCCTAATGGGGCTTTAACCCGTATGTTGTGAACTGTGTGTCTATGTCCCTGGGAGGAGAATGGTCCAGAAAGAGTGCGTGGAAATCTCTCAGCACTTCCAGTGGCAGGAGGCAAAGAACATAAGAAAATGGTGAGGGAGAACAAATGGGGACTGTGGATTTAAACTGTGCACAGCCAGTGATAGGAAGCAGCTTAGCTTCTTAGGACAACCTGTGGGAAGCTGTATTACATGCAAGGAGGATTCAAATGCCTTCCAATTTCTGCTTTTCTTTCTTGTTCTCCTCCCCGGCTCTGCCCTCCCCATTCTCAAGGTGGAGCAGCTGCTCATGGCCACGCAGTGCTGCTGTCATTATTATTCACTTGTTCCATATGTAGTAAATGCCACAAAACTCTCATGATTATCAGAAGCTCCTTGTGCTAGGTGCCATACAGACACATGGTATAAAACAGCCTGTTCCTCAGATAAGACAGGATAATGATGAGGGAAAGGAAGAGTCCCATTTCACAGGGCACAGGGAGATGAAATGATGCACCACAGGCCACACGGGGTTTTTAGCATAACTAGGAGCTGAACTCCCTGTTACTCCTAGTGCAGCGCTCAAACTACTAAACCAGACTTCTCTATGCAATGCATGCTATCCATGAGTAATAATACTCAAGACTCCAAAGTAAAAAGACTAAGACATTTAAAACTTGCCAATTAAGTTAAACTTCCATACATTAATAGTTTATAAGAGGTTAATAAATGAACTCTTGATGCCCTAGCAAATGGGCATTCAATTACTATGGTGTTCCAGACCTCCACAGGTGGCTTAGAAGACATAAGGCAGGCTTATATCTATGGTTTGCTATATGTAACATGTGCAACTCATGGCTGCAAGATGCTTAAACATCTAAAAAATCTTCTCTGAGTGTTTCCTATAAGTAAGTTTAATATCATGCAAGACATTTAAAAATATTGCATTTCTCCTTTAAACACATTAGTTTTGATTAGAGATGGGCCTGACCCCTGATAGCCAGGATTTGACCCTAGTCGGGGAGAGGGTGGGGATGTTCAGTCCAGTGAAGCCAACACTAAGCAGGAACCTGGGCTAAGCTCCATGCTTTCCCATCAACTTTGCACATGATCTTGGGCAAGTTATTTAGATTCTCCCCATCTCTGAAATGAAGCTAATAGTAGTAGGTATTTAGGGGCTGATTTGGCTACCACAGCCACATGGTAACCAAGTATTCGTAGCCTTTACTCACTTGAAGCTCACAACTTTTCTGTGAAGCAGGGCAGGGCAATACGTTATTCCTACTGCAGGGCCACACAACGGTGGCATGCAGCCATGTGCCCAAGGTCACACAGGAGCTCTATGGCAGAGCCTACATCTCCCAAGGGGCAGGCTAAGCACTAGACCATCCTTCCTGCAGCCTTGCCTCCTGGGATGGAGGGGAGGATGGATGTATTTCACATGCCACAGTGAGGTAAGTAGCACAAATGAGGGAAGGGAGGCAGGGTTGAGCTCTGTTCTAGATTAAATGGAGAGGCCTAAAAAGCATCTAAAGGTCTCAAAGCCCAGAGCCGAAAGGCTCTGCCTGATACTTTGATACCGAATTATGCCTGCTGTTTGATTAGGCTGGCTGTATCCAGTAGGCAGCAGCTCCATTCCCGAGAGATTATTCCAGCCAGAGAGACTTGAGACAGGAACCCTGCTGCACAGGTAACGTGCTCAGGCTCTCAAAAGAACAGTGGCAGCTGATAGCAGCAGCCCCCTCAACTCTAATTGCCTTGATTTGGCAATTCAGAAAGATCTTACGAATGGACTGGGATGCGAGGGCAACTTGGCACCTCTCAAGGGTTAGGCCCTGCAATGCATGGGGTTGGTTGACTCATGGAAACAGAGCAGCCGGAGGAAGGGGCTTCCCCAATTCATGGTAGCTTCATGCCCGTTGCTGCACTGACCTGTCCACAGGGTAATGAGCTTCCTCCCCTTTCCGGAAGTCAGTGCTGTTCTCCAGCCTGGCCAGCACGTCCATCCTCTTCACCATCATCTCCAGCATGTCGCTCATTTTCCGCAGCACCCCTCTGGACTCCAGAGCGCCCATCACTGCAGGCACACAAACAGTAAGAGAGAGACTAGTGCAGAGCCAGTGGGCAGGAAGTCATGCAACGTATAGTTTTGGGGAGGGTTGGATCACAAAAGCACTGGGTCATTAGCACTCAAATGGGCAATGTAAGGGGTGAGAAGAGAAGCTCCCATAGCCATCCTTGCTGATGCACTTGGTTCCTGGCCCAATGAGGGCTCTGTGGTCCCCCATTTAGGGCCACAAAGCTCTGCCAACGAGCCTCGGTTGTGAGCACTGGTCCTTCAGGCCCCTACTATTCCACACCCAGACTCCACACCCATCAACCAGTGGACCTCAGTCCCAACCCACATCAGCCCTTGCTCTGAGCATTAGAAAGAACTACAAACAACATATGTCTCTGAACAACATGAGCAACTGTTGTCGTCCCTTTATATGACTGCTGAGCTCTCACCAAGTGGAAACCTGAGTTTGAATCCTCCTCCATCGCTGCCCTGCACATGAACCCACCCATGTGCTCCATTATGCTAAGAAGTTGGCTGCAGCAGTTCCTGGTACATGCAAGTAAAAACAGCCCATATCAAACTCTGTCATGGTTTCGCAATATGAAACATGCATCAGCTAGAGTGAGGCCAAATACTTTTGATTTGTGACCCAATCTCATTTGAATCCAGGTTTCTCAGCACCCATAGCCAATGCAGCAAACCATTATGCTATCCAGTGCTTCCTCTGATTCAGGTTCTATATTCCTCTTCAGTACCCATGACTAATTTCTACACACACAGGACTCGCACTTTGAACCAAAGGCATTTCAAGTAATTCAAGCCATCTATCAGTTGCACTTGATGGTACTCAACTTAATCTAAAGCTGTGCTTGAAACAGCCAAGCAGAAAACATCAACAGCCACCTACAGCTGTCGTCGTATCTGGGAAAGTGTCTGGAATACTGCACCTTCTTTTGCACACTGTTGTATTCCCTGTAACCCAGCAAAGCAAAAACCCTCCCAGAACACAGGCAGACAGGACTGGGTGTTTCAGGATGAGTGGAGCACTCCACATTGTCACCCAAGACAATCACCAAGAGACTTCTCCTTCTCTTCGGCTTGGTACAGCGTTGATATCAATGGGTGCCTATACACAAGCAGCAAGGCTGCTTAGGCGCTGTAATTACAGCGCGTTGGAGCAGACTCAATTAATCACCGTGCTCCAGCAGCCTCCAGCATCTCGTGTATCAGCATCCCCAAGCTTCAAAATGGCAGCAGGGGTGCTTTATCTAAAGCTCGTTTGACGAGCTTGAGATAAAGTGCCACCACCACCATTTTGTAGCGCAGGGACGTTGATATGCGAGACACTCCAGGTGCTTTAATGAGAGCAGATCTACAAACCCCACCCGCTCTTGGGATCATGTGTATACACACCCAATGATTCCCAGGAGACATCAGCACATCCTAGAACCTGGCCCACTCATGGGGAAAGCAGCTGAGACCTTTCTGAATGTTAATAACAGATTTCTACTGGTCTGGTTTTGAAAAAGTTTGATGGGCAATTAAGGTTGGATACAATTCGCCAAAGTTTTCAAAAGAACAGGTGCGACTTACTGGGCCTCAGGTTCATTGCAAGAAGCAAACTCGGGCCAGAATTTCAAAGGTGCATAGATATCTAAAGAGACAAATTAGTATATAGGATAACACCATCAATGGATTTCAATGGGAGCTTTATACTTAGATACTAGGGGTGTGCAAAGCGGGCGCTATTCGATTCAGATTCGGCCCAAATCAGGGACAGTGATTTGATTCATTGATTCGGATCACTGTCCCCGATTCAATTCAGCTGAATCCGAATCTGAAGATTCAATGCCGATTCGGAGAATCAGCGATTCAGACACAGACATAGATTTAAATGGGTTTTTTCTACATACCTCTAGGTAGCAGCATGGATCATGATTGCTGCAATGCTGGGGTGTCCCACAGGAGTGGGGGGGAGGACCATCAATATGCTCGGTGGTGAACCTGGAAGTGGAACGGAAATGCTTCTGGTCCACTTCCAGGTCTGCTGCCGAGAGCGCTGGGGAGCGCCCCGCACTTGTGTGGGACCTAGAGGTACATAGAAAAAACATTTAAAGATGTTTCTATGTTCGAATCTCCAAATCTTTCCGAATCGACATGGAGGGTTCCAATTCAATTCGGAGAGATTAAGAGGTCCTCTGATTCGATTCAGATTTGGAGATTCGGCTGAATCAAATCAGGGACGAAGCGTCGCACAGCCCTATTAGATACCCGTAAGTATCTATGAGCCCTACTGGGATTTTCAGACAGGCCTGGGCAGGTTGGGGCCTACCTCACACTGCAAATTGTTGTTTGGTTTGTTGGATAGTTTGTTTCCTGGAAATCCATTGTAGGTTGAATTAAAACTTTTGTTCAATCTGAAATGAAACATTTGGTTTCAGATTCAAGTATCTGTCAGGTTCCTTTATAGTTTCAAAACAGCTGAACAACATTTCAAAAAACAAATCACTGCTTTGAATTAAAAAGGCAAAATACTTCTTTCAAAATGCCTTACCCGTATTCTTTCCCCTTTCTGGTAGGAAACAAAACAAATTTGCAAAATGTTGCAGTGTTGCTGCTTCTCTACTGAATGCTGAAATGGTAGTTTGAACACAGCTATTTTGTCTCCTTCCAGCCTTATACCCCCGGGCTATCCAGCGTTAGCAGTCAAGGACTGCAAACCATGGGAGTTGCAGCCCTCCCACACTGCGCACCACCTATGCTGCCTGCCTCACCTTCAGCTGCCTGGCTGCGGTCTCCCCTACTGCACCACATCACATGGGCACTATGGTTGCCAATGCACATGCTTGGAAGTGGGGGGTAAGGCGGTGGGGGTGTTTAATTAGAGCAGTTCTGGAATAGCTGCTCTAATTAAAATGGCTCACCGTCACGTGTATTAACACCCCCTCCCCATATTTCAAAATGGCCACAGTGATGCTTTAACTAAAGCTCATATGACAAGGCTCAGTTAGTGTCCCTGCAGCCATTACGAAACATGGGGAGGCTTAATACACATGTTGGTGAGGTGATGCTGGAGCTTTCTGATTTCAAAAAAGGAAGGAAGGAGGACCCAGGAAACTATAAGCCCGTTAGTCTTACTTCGGTCCTGGGGAAGCTTTTTTAGAAAATTATCCTGTTGCCTGTCCACGAGGGGCCAGCAGGGGAGACTATGTTTAGGGGCAACCAACATGGGTTCATCAGAGGCAGGTTCTGTCAGACCAACCTGGTGGCCTTCTATGACCAGGTCACCAAACCCCCGTATGCAGGTGTCGCAGTGGATATAGTCTTTCTGGACTTTAGGAACGCCGTCGACACAGTCTCTCACCCCATTCTCATAAAAAAACTAGGAGACTATGGTGTTGACACCTACACAATCAGATGGGTCACTAATTGGCTGGAGGGCTGCACCCAGAGAGTGGTGGTGGATGGGTCATTTTTGACCTGGAGGGATGTAGGCAGTGGGGTCCCCCAGGACTCGGTCCTCGCACCTGCACTGTTCAACATCTTCATCAGCAACTTGGACAAAGGGGTAAAATGCACCCTGTTCAAATTCACAGATGACACTAGATGTGGGGTGAAGTGGGCACAACAGAAGGGAGGAATAGGCTGCAATCGGATCTGGACAGGCTACAGGAGTGGGCACATGAGAACAGGATGGGTTTCAACACTGAGAAATGCAGGGTACTGCACCTGGGGGAAAGAACCAGCTGAAGACCTACACGCTGGGAAACTCCCTTCTTGTCAGGGCAGAGGCAGAGAAGGATCTTGGAGTCATTATTGAGGCCAATATGAACATGGGCCGACAGTGTGGGGACGCGGTCAGGAAGGCCAACCGTACCTTGTCATGCATCCACAGATGCATCTCAAGCAGGTCCAAGGCGGTGATCATCATCCTCTATGTGACACTGGTCAGGCCGCAGTTGGAGTACTGCGTCCAGTTCTGGCTGCCGTGCTTCAGGAGGGATGTGGACAGCATGGAGAGGGTCCAGGGGAGGGCCACCTGCATGGTCAGGGGGCAGCAGGGCAGGCCCTATGAGGAGAAGCGACGGGACCTGAACCTGTTCAGCCTCCACAAGAGAAGGCTGAGGGGGGATCTAGTGGCCGTTTACAAACTAGTCGGGGGGGACCAGCAGGCATTGGGAGAGTCCCTGTTCCCCCGAGCACTCCCAAGGAGTGACAAGAAATAACGGTCACAAGCTGGCAGAGGGTAGATTCAGACTAGATAATCAGGAGGCGCTACTTCACTGTCAGGGCGGCTAGGATCTGGAACCAACTGTGCTGGCTCCTACCCTGGGGGTCTTTAAAAGGAGGCTGGATGAACACCTGGCCGGGGTCATTTGACCCCAGTACTCTTTCCTGCCATGGCAGGGGGTCGGACTTGATGATCTGCTCAGGTCCCTTCCAAACCTACCAACTATGAAACTATGAGTCTGTTCTAATGTGTTCTACGTAGAACACGAATGGGTACATCTATAGTCATCCTCAGGGCCCCTGGCACAATAAGCATGCTGTACCATGTGTGATATGCCATCCCACCCCCTAGCATGCAGCAAAAGGTAGAGGAGGGAGGAGAGCCCAAAGCTCCCAGCCCCTTCTACAGCCAGAGCAATGAGGATGGCTGTATAGGAGCCCAGGGGCCTCATGTTAACCCCTCACTGCTGGCCCACAGCCTGCCAATTGAACAGCCCTGCTATACCCTATTGGAAGTCAGATGCCTAATTTGCTCAGGCACTTCTGAAAATCCTAAGTGCCCATCTGCTTTTTTAGGCATCTACATACTCTGGAGCACCTGGTACTTGCCAACCTAACTTCAACTGAAAGCCAGAGACCCAAGGAAAAATGACTTGCATTCAAACTTGTCTAACTTTATCCCAGCTACACAGTTGATCGAATAACAGATATCACCCTATGAAATCCTTGCCTCTTGAATGGTTTCTGGACCATCACAGCTACAACATCCCTCTTGCACTACCCAAGAG